TGTCCTGCAACCAGGGATCATCAAGGAAAGGCACCTATGCCATCGCATTAATAAGCTTTGGGAAAACAAGCAAACTAACCAGGGAGCAGGCTGCGCAAACTTGTAGCAACCTGTTGAATGACCGTGTACGGGCGGTTTCGATTACCTGGTTGCAAGATTCAGTCGCGGCAGCACCCGCCTATTATCAACCGCGAAACCGCTACCGGGCGGAGGTGCTTTTACAAGCCGTCCGGAAAATAAGAAAACACAATCGTGATAAATTCGACGCCGTCATTCTTATAACTGATTTACCGGTAAGCACTTCGCTACATGGCAAATATGACTACGGTATCTGCGGCTTATCCGGTCTTGGCGATGGCGCATCAGTCGTATCTGCTCATGGACTGGATCGTGTGATGTTTTGCCAGACGTTGCGGCATGAATGGGGGCATGGAATAGGACTGCAGCATTGCCGGGAAGACAATTGTATCATGAATGATGCCCATGGCAAGATCCGTAACCTGCAGGGGCATGGGCATTTCGGTGAAGACTGTTATCAATTTGCAGCAAATAAACACCGGTGAAATGACTGCCAGCGCAGCATTATGGTCGTATAATTTCCAGCGCCCCGCTCTCACTGATCTTTACAATCCTGGACGGCAGATGTACAGTGGTATCATCGCGGCGGTATTGGACTACATAATCGGCGCCAGCCAGCACCATTGGATCAATCTCACGGAAGAGCGATGCGGTTGGCTGCCCGCTGATATTGGCGGAGGTCGAGATCAATGGTTTGCCCCAGGCCCGGATCAGCTCTTTACAGAAAGGATCATTGACGATACGGATACCGATGCTGCCATCTGCTGCCAGAGCATTAGCTGCCAGTCCATGCGCCTGCGGATAAACGACCGTAGTAGGCCGGTCAAAGTCAGCTATGGTTTTCAGTATTTCGGGGGCGGGAAGGGCAATGTAATGCGCCAGATCGGCAGCATCCGCCAGCAGCACGATCATGCTTTTATGAGCGGGCCTGTTTTTTAAGGCAAATACATTTTCAATAGCAACAGCATTGGTGGCATCGCAGCCAATGCCCCATACGGTATCGGTTGGGTAAACGATCACGCCGCCTTTTTTTAAGGCTTCCATGCAATTAGTTATATCCCTGCTGAATCCTGCCACCATAAAAGTTTGTTTGTATCAATATCCTTTGCGCAACGAAAATGGCCTTGCGGGCACTCATCATATCCATGAATGCCACAGGGCTTGCAGGGAAGCTGTTGTACCTCTACCAGCCTGCTCAGCTCGCTAAGCGGGCCAAAGCCAAAACATTCATGGGTAGAACAGAACACCGCAGTAGCAGGCGCATTGACCGAAGATGCGAAATGTAAAGGGCCGGAGTCATTGGTATAATTCATCACTGCATCCCTCATCAGCGCTGCCGACTGCATCAGGGATAGCTTGCCGCCCAGGTTTTCCATCATCCTTCCGGGACATTCTTTCATGATCTCATCGGCCATGGCGGCATCTTCCGGGCCACTGAGAAAGTAAATTTTATAAGCGGTAGGTAGCCTGTGAATCAACTCTATCCACCGGGCGGCAGGGTAGCGCTTGGTAAACCATACCGAGGACGGAGCAATGCATAGATAGGGCTGCTGTTTATAAGTCCGCACCTTTTCATCATCTTCGGGTGAAGGATATAAGCCGGG